GCATCTTGAAAGTTCTTACTAATTGTCCAATTCGCTCTACCATTTTGCACCCTTTATATTCGGTATTTCACTGATTGCAGTCCCAAACAATTTTGCATTGTCGTGTGAAAGAAGTAGGTCCACGTTTTGAAATGAGCCCCATAACACTTTGTCGGTAGTTTTCATACCCTCCACCATACTATGGAGGGTATATTAACTTTGTCATTCCGTTTGTAACTCCTCGAAATACTCATGTCAGACCCAACAAATTATATATATTCTTGATCAGCGTAAAATTCTAAGTCGATTTAGCCATGTCGGTCTGTCTGTCTGTCTCTGTCCGTCTGTCTGTTGTAGTCACGATATCTTTCGAACGAATTGAGATAGAAGGCTAGGTGCAATACCCACCGAAATTGTTTGAGATGTAGTATTTGAATATAAGCCGTGTCGTATTCTTGAGTTACAAGCGTAGTAATAACAAAACCTTCTTATATATACATATATAGGTTTTGACCCTTTGTGAGGGTGGTACCAGAAGGAACCGGCCGATATCTACCATCTTCAGAACTGATCTTGTGTTGATGGAAATACTGAAATGTGCCGAGTTTGAAAGAAGCTATTGCTCATTTCGCTTTTTATGACTTTCATGGTTATTAAAAATGTTGATCCGTTGTGGGTGTGGTACCAGTAGGCATGAACTGATATATCTGATATTCGCAACAAATCTTGCCTTAATAAAAGTATTGAGATGCGTGAAATTTGAATAAAATCGGATGCTCATTTCACATTTTATAAGAGTTATAATTATTCAAAATGTTGACCCTTTGTGGGTGATGTACTTCATGGATAGCCAGAAATATTGGGTTTTGCGAAGTTTGCACAAAATCGAATGATTCTTTCTCTTTTAACCTTTGGTGGGGGAGGTACCAGAAGGAGTAGACCTATATTGCCCATCTCCGAACTCGATCTAAGTTTGACAATAATATTACGATATTTCAAGTTTGCACGAAAGCAGACAGAGGCAGCAGACAGAGCGTAAAAAAACCGCAAATATTTACACCCCACTCCACGGTTATAGGTTCATTTACCTGTACGAAATCATCATTACCAAGTAATTAGTCTGCCCTGTCTATTAATGGAACAGTGTTGCCATTTTATTTGGGATACCGTGGCTAATTTTATTGTTGCAAAATAGCCAGGCTTTATAAGTCATTTTTATAAAAACAACATTTATTTATTAGACCACCCTCCACCCCCGATTAACATCGCCATTTTTCTCCACTAATAAACAAATGTGATTTTTCTAAAAACAAGAATAATAGCATTAAGCCTGACTATTTTGTAACAACAAAACTAACAACTCTATCCCAAATAAAATGCCAGCACTGTTAAATATTAAAGCTGAAAATTGAGCCAGCTAAGAAATTCTACGGAGTGTTAGCAACAAACATCATTTTTGCAAAACTTTCAAACGACAGAAAGTTATTGTTTTATTTTGGTTTTAATTTGTAAAACTGCTGCCCTCATATTTCCATTGTTTTATAACTTTCCTTAAACGCATGTGTTAAATATTTAATCCCAATGGATCGTATGGCAGCCGGTGAATAAGTTTCCTCTATTGCAGAACTGTCCCACACATTGTTGCTGCAAACACAGCAAGAAAGTTCTCAACATCTCACGGAAACTGCTACAAAGGACGCTGACAGCTTAATTAATTTTAAGAGCTTAACAAACAATTAAAAGCTTAAGAGCCTCTTTTCTCCTCTCCATTAGGTTGACAAATTGACTCGCAACGCTCGAGTACGAGTATGCACATAAACGCACTGCAAGTGCAGAAGTACTAGCCACACGCAGCGTGCAATTATGCAACTTAATGTTGACAACTACTTCCGCATTAATGCGATTATTATGTGCCCCACCATGGACTGGAGAGTGAGGGAGTAAACTTATCATCCCGCTGGTAACATAATCATATAATTGGCATAATTATTATCAATCATGAGTTTGATTTCTGGTTTGTTCTGTTTCAAACCAAAGTGTTTATAACTTGATATTTTAAAGTTTCGATGGGTCGAAGGTCTTCTTTCAAATTTCACAATTCAGGACCACAGTTTGATCTTGTCTCCATATGACGACACCACCATTTGCATAATGGCAGTTTTAGATTTAAGTATTGTATTATGTCTTTGTGCATTTGTTTGTAACAGGCAAAAGGAAACGAGATAGACCCATAGTTCCTTTTGATGATCTGCATAGAATCACATCCTGAGTCGATTTATGCATTTCCGTCCGTCCGTCTGTCCATGTATTTTTGTAAACAAAGTACAGTTTACATTTATTGCCCTATCCAGATGCAATTTTGCACAAATCAGTTATTTGGCTCAAGGACGAACCCTATTGAAATTGGAGATAATCGGTCAAAATTAAAATATAGCTCCCATATATATCTTCGTCCGATTTGCTTTTTATTGCGCACCAAACGTGTAATGTCAGGCCGAATAGTATGTAATTTTGTACATACAACCAAATTAGGCCTGAAAATAAATATGCCAAATTTTATCGAGATCGGTTCAGATTTGGATATAGCTCCCATATAAAACCTCGGCCGATTTACGTTTTATTGTGCACCAAACGTCTAATATTTTTCCAAATAGGATGGAATTTGGCTATAGCTATATCTGAACCGATTTCGATAAAATTTAGCATACTTATTTTCAGGCCTAATCTGGTAGTATGTGCAAAATTCCATACCATTCGGCCTTATATTACACGTTTGGTGCACAATAAAAGGTAAATCGGACGAAGATATATATGGGAGATATATCTAAACTTCGACCGATTATCTCCAATTTCAATAGGGTTCGTCCTTGGGCCAAACAAATGATTTGTGCAAAATTTCATCTAGATAGGACAATAAATGCGAGCTGTACTTTGTTTACAAAAATACATCGACAGACGGACGGACGGACATGCATAAATCGACTCACAATGTGATTCTATGTAGATCATCAAAAGGAACTATGAGTCTATCTCGTTTCCTTTTGCCTGTTACAAACAAATGCACAAAGACATAATATCCTGACCACCTTATGGTGTAGGGTATAATGAGGAAATCTCTCAAAACAATGAAAGCAACTTGTTGCATATAATTTTGAGCAGCTATGAAGCGCGTATAGCCTCAGGGCTTTATTTCTATACTTTTACGAAGCTGTTCTATTTATACCCTACAACACTATGTGTTGGGGGTATTATAAGTTTGATTGGGCCAGAATTTATGTAACACCTCGAAATATTGGTTTCCCATATAGGAAAGTATATATGGATCTTCCTAGCTCGCCGAGCTGAGTCGATCTAGCTATGTATGTCCGTCCGTCCGTCTGTCCGTCTGTCCGTCTGTCCGTCTGTCCATGTTAATTTGTAATCACTCTACAGGTCGCAATTATGGCCCGATCTTCACGAAATTTAAAATGTAGGTGGGGTTAATGTCCGAATAGAACCCTATTTCTTTTGGAGATGATCGCCAAATGTTTAGGGGTTGAAATGGACCAAATACTGAAAAAATGTCGGATTTTGCAGTAGCTATACAGACCGCAATTATAGACCAATCGACGCGGAATTTCGTATGCAGCTAGAGTTTAGGGCGGGGAAGAAGCCTACCAATTTGGGTGGTCATCGGATAATATTTAGCGTCTAAAATAGACCATATCTTTTTTGTTGAAAAAAATCAAAATTTTTCATTAAACCGCGAATATTTTAAATCCCGGCGAAATCACAAAGCCATGACAAGGTTACTTCTGATCTTTACATTGATGTTAAGATCCAACAAATCGAATATATAGCAAAATATGTGCGATATATATGTCTATTAAAGAAGATATGCTTGAAAGATCTCTTATATGTCGAGAACGGCTGAACTGATTTCGACAGTTCTCATTAATTCAGAATGGCCTCTTGGCAGGAAAGAAAAAACGTCTAAAAAAATCGCATAAAAATATCTCTCTAAAGATGAAAATATTGATTTTGTAAAATTTTCTCATATTTTTTCAATTTTTGTCATATTTTTGGCATATTTTCATTTTGAATTAAACATTTGGTAATATTTCTACAGCTAACAAAACTAAGTAGTTAGGATATCTAGATATCATATACAGATCGCATTTATGGCCCGATCCTTACGAAATTTTGCATGGGGATAAAATGAGGGTCAGAATAGAAGCCTACTCTTTTTGGAGATGATCGCCATATATTTAGCGGTTGAAATGGACCAACAAAACTTCAAAATTGTCAGCAGGTCGTAATTATCGCCCGATCCTCACGCACATTTGAATGGGTGTTACCGGTCATTGCAAAAGCCAAGCAGTTTTGGATCGCCATCCAAAAATATTCAATGTGTGAAATAGTTTGCAAACTTTTGTAGACAAAATACTTGGAGAATTCACAAATACAGGAAAGACGCACTTCTGACTATTTCGTTAACGCTGAAGAAGAATATAGTCAAATGGCTGTATCTCATATAGATGCGTTTAAGTCAAAAACCAATAATAAATGTTAATCTTTTGCCACTTCTGAGAGATTATAGGTCTTTGGGAAATATTGGTTCCAGATCTAGGAAGACCATTTACGTGCAACATCTACCAATAAATTGGAAATGAGCAAATTAGTTTAAGAGCTAAACCTGATGGTTTTCTTTTATTATTTGTCACAATATTTTGTGGAATTCTTTCGAGTATCTCGCCTATATAATCTGTATCGTTTATTATAGTGTTGTAGGGTATTCAACGGTCGGCCCCGCTCGACTGTAGCCTTTGCTTACTTGTTTCTTATTATACCATGGCCCTATCTACATTTATCAACCGAAAACACTATAATTTGGTATTTTAGTTTAAGTATCCCAATTCGTCAATCGATCCGTCTTCACGATTAATTTATCGCACTCTGTTTAAGAAGTTGTAGCGGTAATTTGCAAATTATAATGCTTGTGCTCAGAATAATACACTAATATCAAGCTGACTAATACCTACCGCAAACAGACGCGTTCTTCCTCATCATTGTTCATTATGGCCGTTGCTAATCCTTATAACCAACGATGACACATGTGTTGACGGGACACCGTTTACTTAATAACTTATGAAGTCCATGTCAGTAGATTATTTATTGAACGAACCTCGTCATCTGCAATAGAAAAGAAAAATGGTTGTAAGTAATTATTACAACAGACTTATTGTCAGCAAAAACTTTGTAAAGAAAAAAAAAAAAAAGAACGAAGTAGAGATACTTTCCATTCTATAGATAATAATTACGAAAATTAGAAGTTATTCCCTATACCCTCACAAAGACCTAAATTGATTAAGACTTGACAAATTGCATTCTGAGAAAATATTTTGTGGCTATACTATCTGGAAAAACAGCTCATGACAGAGGCAAGTTAATATAAAAAACACAATTATAGAAAAGAACCAGTAAGGAAAAGTCGAAAGTCGGGCGGTGCCGACTATATGATACCCAACACTACTATGCCTATTTTGTAGGGCTCTCGTAAAAAAATAATTTATTTGAAGTAGATCATACCACCTATCAACTTTTGGCTTTAGAGCAGTTATAATTTGGTTTCAGAGGGAGGATGGGAGGCATATCCATTTCTGAGTCGATTAAGGATATATATGGGAGGTATATCCAAACCTTAGCCGTTTTCGATCTGGTACCAAATATCATTGTTGTCAAATTCATATTGTGAATGTGAGGGACTTAAACACCAAATCGGATGAAACATATATATGGGAGTTATAGCTATATCTGAACCGATTTTCTCCAAATTTGATGTACTTGCTTCTAGACAAAATTCGGTCGGATGTACTAAAATTCCAAACTTTTTGATAGATATTGGCCATTTGTTGCACAATCAACCCGAAATCGGTTAAATATCCATATATATATTTAGCTATTTGTAAATCTGAACCGATCTTGATAAAATTTGGCAGAGGTATTTCTGGGCTTTACATGGACGGATGAAAAGACGGACTACCACACATAAATCGACTCAGAAAGTGATTCTATGAAGATCCTCAAAAGAAATTATAGGTCTATATCGCTTCCTTCTTCATGTTACAAACAAATGCACAAAGACATAATACTCTTACTAGTATGTGGTGTAGGGTATAATGACAAATGAAAGTTTGAATAACCCAAAAATTAAATTCCATTCCATTGACCTTCTTATTTTTATTGAATTTTGCCTTAGCGGTTTAAATTACTTAACATTGGTAAGTATGTTGTATAAGATATAGATATAAAATCGGAGGAATTATATATATGAGAGCTATAGCTTTATGTGATCCGATCTCGATAATATTTGCTCGAGGTGTTTCTGAGTTATATCTGATATCTGGTACAAAATATTATTATTGTGGAGTATATATTACGAATGTCGGGGACTTAAGCGCCAAATCGGATGAAACATATATATGGGAGCTATAGCTATATATTAACCGAATTTCACCAAATTAAACGCACTTACTTATAAGCTGAATTCATTGGTATGTGCTAAATTCGATCAAATGTTGGCTTATAGTAAGCATTTAGTGCACAATGGAGCTGAAATGGAGCTGTAGTGTCGGGTATAAACATTAAATTGTCGTATTTCTCAAAGCAAATATCGATATGAAAAAGTTAAAGTTTGAACGCGTTAAAGCAGTTAACTAAGTACACCATTTTGTGGGCTCAGAAAAATATGGGGAGATGAGTTTGTCCAACAAAAAATTGGTAGCCACACATCATTATTCCATGCAATTTCAATAGGGTTCGTCCTTGGGCCAAACAAATGATTTGTGCAAAATTTCATCTAGATAGGACAATAAATGCGAGCTGTACTTTGTTTACAAAAATACATCGACAGACGGACGGACGGACATGCATAAATCGACTCACAATGTGATTCTATGTAGATCATCAAAAGGAACTATGAGTCTATCTCGTTTCCTTTTGCCTGTTACAAACAAATGCACAAAGACATAATATCCTGACCACCTTATGGTGTAGGGTATAATGAGGAAATCTCTCAAAACAATGAAAGCAACTTGTTGCATATAATTTTGAGCAGCTATGAAGCGCGTATAGCCTCAGGGCTTTATTTCTATACTTTTACGAAGCTGTTCTATTTATACCCTACAACACTATGTGTTGGGGGTATTATAAGTTTGATTGGGCCAGAATTTATGTAACACCTCGAAATATTGGTTTCCCATATAGGAAAGTATATATGGATCTTCCTAGCTCGCCGAGCTGAGTCGATCTAGCTATGTATGTCCGTCCGTCCGTCTGTCCGTCTGTCCGTCTGTCCGTCTGTCCATGTTAATTTGTAATCACTCTACAGGTCGCAATTATGGCCCGATCTTCACGAAATTTAAAATGTAGGTGGGGTTAATGTCCGAATAGAACCCTATTTCTTTTGGAGATGATCGCCAAATGTTTAGGGGTTGAAATGGACCAAATACTGAAAAAATGTCGGATTTTGCAGTAGCTATACAGACCGCAATTATAGACCAATCGACGCGGAATTTCGTATGCAGCTAGAGTTTAGGGCGGGGAAGAAGCCTACCAATTTGGGTGGTCATCGGATAATATTTAGCGTCTAAAATAGACCATATCTTTTTTGTTGAAAAAAATCAAAATTTTTCATTAAACCGCGAATATTTTAAATCCCGGCGAAATCACAAAGCCATGACAAGGTTACTTCTGATCTTTACATTGATGTTAAGATCCAACAAATCGAATATATAGCAAAATATGTGCGATATATATGTCTATTAAAGAAGATATGCTTGAAAGATCTCTTATATGTCGAGAACGGCTGAACTGATTTCGACAGTTCTCATTAATTCAGAATGGCCTCTTGGCAGGAAAGAAAAAACGTCTAAAAAAATCGCATAAAAATATCTCTCTAAAGATGAAAATATTGATTTTGTAAAATTTTCTCATATTTTTTCAATTTTTGTCATATTTTTGGCATATTTTCATTTTGAATTAAACATTTGGTAATATTTCTACAGCTAACAAAACTAAGTAGTTAGGATATCTAGATATCATATACAGATCGCATTTATGGCCCGATCCTTACGAAATTTTGCATGGGGATAAAATGAGGGTCAGAATAGAAGCCTACTCTTTTTGGAGATGATCGCCATATATTTAGCGGTTGAAATGGACCAACAAAACTTCAAAATTGTCAGCAGGTCGTAATTATCGCCCGATCCTCACGCACATTTGAATGGGTGTTACCGGTCATTGCAAAAGCCAAGCAGTTTTGGATCGCCATCCAAAAATATTCAATGTGTGAAATAGTTTGCAAACTTTTGTAGACAAAATACTTGGAGAATTCACAAATACAGGAAAGACGCACTTCTGACTATTTCGTTAACGCTGAAGAAGAATATAGTCAAATGGCTGTATCTCATATAGATGCGTTTAAGTCAAAAACCAATAATAAATGTTAATCTTTTGCCACTTCTGAGAGATTATAGGTCTTTGGGAAATATTGGTTCCAGATCTAGGAAGACCATTTACGTGCAACATCTACCAATAAATTGGAAATGAGCAAATTAGTTTAAGAGCTAAACCTGATGGTTTTCTTTTATTATTTGTCACAATATTTTGTGGAATTCTTTCGAGTATCTCGCCTATATAATCTGTATCGTTTATTATAGTGTTGTAGGGTATTCAACGGTCGGCCCCGCTCGACTGTAGCCTTTGCTTACTTGTTTCTTATTATACCATGGCCCTATCTACATTTATCAACCGAAAACACTATAATTTGGTATTTTAGTTTAAGTATCCCAATTCGTCAATCGATCCGTCTTCACGATTAATTTATCGCACTCTGTTTAAGAAGTTGTAGCGGTAATTTGCAAATTATAATGCTTGTGCTCAGAATAATACACTAATATCAAGCTGACTAATACCTACCGCAAACAGACGCGTTCTTCCTCATCATTGTTCATTATGGCCGTTGCTAATCCTTATAACCAACGATGACACATGTGTTGACGGGACACCGTTTACTTAATAACTTATGAAGTCCATGTCAGTAGATTATTTATTGAACGAACCTCGTCATCTGCAATAGAAAAGAAAAATGGTTGTAAGTAATTATTACAACAGACTTATTGTCAGCAAAAACTTTGTAAAGAAAAAAAAAAAAAAGAACGAAGTAGAGATACTTTCCATTCTATAGATAATAATTACGAAAATTAGAAGTTATTCCCTATACCCTCACAAAGACCTAAATTGATTAAGACTTGACAAATTGCATTCTGAGAAAATATTTTGTGGCTATACTATCTGGAAAAACAGCTCATGACAGAGGCAAGTTAATATAAAAAACACAATTATAGAAAAGAACCAGTAAGGAAAAGTCGAAAGTCGGGCGGTGCCGACTATATGATACCCAACACTACTATGCCTATTTTGTAGGGCTCTCGTAAAAAAATAATTTATTTGAAGTAGATCATACCACCTATCAACTTTTGGCTTTAGAGCAGTTATAATTTGGTTTCAGAGGGAGGATGGGAGGCATATCCATTTCTGAGTCGATTAAGGATATATATGGGAGGTATATCCAAACCTTAGCCGTTTTCGATCTGGTACCAAATATCATTGTTGTCAAATTCATATTGTGAATGTGAGGGACTTAAACACCAAATCGGATGAAACATATATATGGGAGTTATAGCTATATCTGAACCGATTTTCTCCAAATTTGATGTACTTGCTTCTAGACAAAATTCGGTCGGATGTACTAAAATTCCAAACTTTTTGATAGATATTGGCCATTTGTTGCACAATCAACCCGAAATCGGTTAAATATCCATATATATATTTAGCTATTTGTAAATCTGAACCGATCTTGATAAAATTTGGCAGAGGTATTTCTGGGCTTTACATGGACGGATGAAAAGACGGACTACCACACATAAATCGACTCAGAAAGTGATTCTATGAAGATCCTCAAAAGAAATTATAGGTCTATATCGCTTCCTTCTTCATGTTACAAACAAATGCACAAAGACATAATACTCTTACTAGTATGTGGTGTAGGGTATAATGACAAATGAAAGTTTGAATAACCCAAAAATTAAATTCCATTCCATTGACCTTCTTATTTTTATTGAATT